TGATCGTTACGGTGCGTAATGGCCGTTACGTAACAGTAACGGTGTACTCCAATTTTGTTATGGTCTACTATAACAGAGAGAGTGAAATTCACAGCTGTAACAATCGTTACCGTTCCGTAACGTGCCCGTAACGCTCGTAACGGCCGCTTTGACCCGTTTACAACCCAAAATTTTGAGTATAAAACCCAAATTTCAGCCCCAAAAATTTTAGCCCCAAATTCAACTAACTTCTCTCATTTTTCATCCTTCACTCAAATCCATGATTTGATCTACAAAATCTTTCAAATAAAAACTCACATGTGATTAGATCTGTGTTATCTTTCAAACGTTTTCTAGATCTTCCAAAAATTTCAGCCCTTGCTAGAAAACTTGACCAGATTTGTGCTCTCTTCTGGTCACTATGGTCGCTGTTTCTTCGGATGATCGAAGACGACTCGATCGATCTCCTGTTCTCCGTCGTTCCATCGTCTTGGTCTCGTCTCCTGGGGAAAAGTCCACTGCCTCTTTTTTTTTTTTTTGGTTTGGTTTTTTTTCTTTGTGGATGTAATGACTTACAGTAACCACCACAGACTTACCGACCAGTTCACCACAGCCTCTTTTTTTTTCTTTGTTTTGTCTTTGTTTTTTGTGGATGTAATGACTTATCCGCCACTGACTCACCCACTGCCTCTTTCTTTCTTTTTTTTTTCTTTTTTTTTTATAGATGCAATGACAGTAAGTGCACCGCCTTTATCTTCTTTTTTTTTTTACTTTTTAATGATGTAATATTGTCTTATTTCTTTAGATATTTAGATATTATAAATTTATAATTGTGTGTTTGAGATATATTTTTGGTCAAATTAAACAAGTGTTTAATTAAATAAATTTAATGCAATTTATTAATTATTTTAATGGAGTTTACATGTGTATTACAATTAACGGTATCAATCATGTCATGTTCGTGTCAAGAGTCAAAATCCAAAAAAAAAAAATTATTGTGTTCTAATTATTAAACATTAGTCTAAATTATTTATTATGTGTATTTAATAATCATGTCAATTTTATAATCGTTTGTGTCAATTTCGTATCAACAGGTCAGAGTTGACAACCTTAATTACAATTAACTAATTTTAGTATAGGCATTTCATTTGTTCAATTGTTGCTAATGGAAAGGTCATTGATGTATAGTGACTTAAGAAATATTATTAATACTTATGATATTTTATTATCATATTTATGATATAATAAAATGCACTAAATCACTAAACACCCATATTTGCATAATTTTAAGTTAAAACATGTAAATATTTATGTTTTATGGCAGATTGTGAGTTGAAAATAAAAATTCACGCATTCGCTTTCTGTTATCGTTACGTAACGTCTGTTTCACCCGGCGTCCGTTACAACGTTACCGTTATTCAGAACCATGTCATCTAGTATTTATATAATATATCAATAAGAATAAAATGAGTGTGTGTATGAATTTGATTTGGAGAAAATCAAACCATCCCTTTCTCCCTCCCTTTCCCTATCCCTATCCCTCTATAGCATATATGTATGTATTGTATATGCCTGGTGCCCATCTGTGATTATGTTTGAGAAGAGGACATGTGTAGTTACACACCAGAGAAGTGTGCACACACAGGACTGTGTATTGATTGATTGTGAATTGAGTTGGATGTTGATTGGATAGAAGTGGTGGTTGCATAGTAGTGGTGTGGTGGTGGGTGGAAGGATCAAAATTTTATTTTGATGCATTATTTTGATCATCTAAAAAATAGAAATATTTCAACGTGTTTTGAAAACGTTTCGAAAACGAAATGAAAAAAAAAAAATTAAGAATTATTTTTTTAAAACATTAGTCGAAATATACCAATATATCTCGAAATACCTATAAACATTCTGAAATAATTGTGAAAATGCATTGAAACATTACAAAACACCTCGAATCATTATAAAACACCTTAAAATATTAGAATTTTGATTCCAACATTGATTCGTTTCGATCTCCTTAAAAATGAAAACATTTCGAACGTTTCGAAACTTAATTCTGATCGTTGGTGGGATGTTGTGTGTGGTGATGGCATGGTGGCCTTGTTAAGAAGATGGGGTTTTGGGGTATGAGAATAATAATGCTAACTTGGGTGTCGAGGTATGAGAATTAATTTATTCCGGGCAGGATTAAGTTTGGAACTTTTTTTGAGGAAAGACTAGGGGGAAGGGGAATTGTCAATGCTCCATGTTCGGCCTCTACTTGACCTTTATACAATTGAAATAAAATAAAAAGTAATGCTTCACCTCCCTGAATCAAGTTTTCTGTCATATACTCACTCATCGGTTGCTGCTCTTTTGCTAATTCTGTGATTTGAACCCTGGAAGCTGGAGAGTTTAGTACTTAATTCCATGTCAACTGTTTTATAGTCCTTATTAAGTTTTACTTCAATCGTATATACTGCCTATACTCTCAGGAAACCATCTGTGATCGTTTGCCTCTTTGCATTATCATTCGAGATGAGCAGAGGATACTCCCATCGAATTTTCATGGATTATTTGGCAAATGGCAGGTTGCACAACCCCAGTAGTGTGCAACCCCACCATCACTCTCTTCACGACCATTCCATTCATCTCTGCTTTAACATACAACGAACGGGTGTGGATGGAGTTTGGCGCCAACATGTCGTCAGGAAAAGTATTCTTTATACACGTGCATAGTAATATTATGATTGTCCGAAAGTTCATCACTGTGCTGTTCTATGAGGATGTTTGTATGAGCTATTCTTTCTTACAATCACCTAGTTAATCAAGAGTCCTGTATCCAGCATCCGCAGTTGGAGTTTTGTACTCCTGCCAAAGTATTAAATGTGTCATTATGGCCCATAGAATATGAACTCCAATTTTCTATTTCTCATTATTGTTCTGTAGGAATTGGGTGTTTGTGGGTAGAATGTTGTGTGCGTTGTAGGGGTTGCGGATTGATGGAACGGTGAAAATGATACTTAAAAGAGCCTGCCTTCCTATCAGTTCTATCTTTTGTATTCGCACTATTATGGGGCATTTGTTCATGCTTAGTCACTCAATCGCTCAGTTTCTCATATCCTCGTGGACATGTTTGTTTGAAAAATAATGGTGGTATAAAAAGCTGGGAATAGGGAAAATAATGCGCAAGGCCAAATAATACCTTGTTTGTTTGCCTTTTTTCGTATGATACTATTTTCATGTCGCAATACCGATCTACTAACTATAGTTCACTGAAACCCATGTACATAAGTTTATATAATACCATCTAGGAGGTGGTATTATTTTTTGGGTTTTTAACTACCAACGGTATTAAGGAGGTTAATGATTGAATTAAACTTCGGCCTTCAATGTTACTATGGGATTATATAATACCATATGTTAGTTCACTGAAACCCATGTACATGGGTTTATATAATACCATCTAAAAGATAATATTATTTTTTGGGTTTTAGCCAGCTACCAACGGTATTATGGAGGTTAATGATTGAATTAGCCTTTGACCTTTAATGTTAGTACAAGATTTCTCAATCTCATGCTTAATAAACCTCAAAGCAAACATGCCCTTAGGGTGTATTTGTTCAAGGTATTGGTATTCATGGGATTGCCTAATATATTCCATACACTTCTAATATTGAGAGAAGTTAATACCTGTAATAAAAATAAATGCAATCTTATATCATGTTGTTTGGATAATATGTTTTATTGTGAGATCCATCAAAAAACATTTATTTCACATCTCAAATAACAAAATAGACATATTTACCCATAATATCATTCATTCCATTCGATGGTATAGTAATTACACTATCGGTGCCCCTTCTCCCACCTCTTAATACCACATCTCGGGTGGTATTAGATATACCCATATACATGAGTTTGACGCCACAATTCATACCGAGTCAGTATTAAAATCCAAAAATTAGTACGTTGCTAAAAATGATTAACAAACAAAATATACGCAAAACTCATGCACTAATAAACACAATCCATCCTCTTTATACCCCACTTATCCCCAAAACAAACCCTCCGTCAAGATATTTTTTTCACACATCCCCCTTGAGACAGGATGGTGGTCTGCCTTTTATACACAATGCCTCCTAGGCATGATGTAGCCTTATCATCTTCTAGAAGCAATGAATAACGAAAAGAGATTTTGACCTTTCCAATCTTTCAAGCTCGAGTCAGGGCTATTGTTGCCATCACTCAGCCAATCAGCCTGCTTCTCCTACATGGAAATTGGAAAACCACTGAGAGGAGGAAAAGAGTCTTTACCTAATTGCCTTGGGAATGATATAAAAACTCTTGAGTGTTTGAATCTTATCAGATCTAAAGAAAAATGTAAACGAACAATATAAATATGCATCCAGGTGTATCATTTCTTTTAAGAATTCCAAGTTAATTAAATGCTGTAATCAGGAAAAGCTAAGCAATCTCCACATATCAAGATCTTCTTGGATGGCGGAAAGCAGGAACAATATTCATCCTCTCCTGTCACTCTGTTGCTTAGATGCAGAAGCCAGGCAGTGTTCCATCATTCTTTCATACCCCTTAAGGTAGTGCAGTGCAGGGTCAACTTTATAAAGCTAAGCAATCTCCACATATCAAGATCTTCTATTTGACCTGAAAAGGAATGGGGAATTTTCAGGAATTGATGCAGGTATTTGAGTTCTAAGCTTGTCACGTGAATTACTTAACCAGCCCCCGTGACAATACGCATAGTCCCCAAACAAGGCTAAGCAATACATATTTAAAGCAAACAGAAATGTAACCAGCCGACTTGAAAAACAAGTATTCTATCAACCAAGCACTTCTTAGTAGATTAATAACTATTGTGTAATAGTAATAGTATTGAATTACAATGTTTTGAACAGATTACAAGAAACAGAGAGAATATTCTTGGACAAGACTGAAGTACAGAATTCATTCCACAGTTGCTTTCATTATAAGCAGTGTGTAAGACTGGAACCGGGCTCATGTCTTAAGGTCAGCAAGCTTTGCCTCACCATCATTACACAAAAGCCTGAGAAATCTGGAAACATTCACATATCCAGCATCAACTGCGGTACTTGGATCATAACAAAGCACAAGTCGTGTCAACAATATCTATACACAACTCGCACAGCCACACATTAAATAATTACCATGCCAGTGTAAATTCTAGATAAGAGGCATCCAGTCCAAAGGGATACTGAACAAATATCCTGACAAAATGAAAAGAATCCATGAAACAAAACAAAAACAGCTTTACCCATTCATCACTAGATTTGATGCAACACCTTCTTGACCAGGAAATTTTCACTTACAGTAGTGCAAAACATGCAAAAAGCATCTTAACCACACTGACACACACAGGTGCGCGCACACACGCACACAGAGCACTTTCCATGTCTCAACTGGTTATGAGGCATAAAAAACTCGGTCTAGGTTAGATAAGGATGTTGATTAGTATGGGACATATAAATACTGGCAAGAATTTTGGCAGAACATCCCCACAGAAGAGAAGGTGGAAGAAGAAGGAGATTTACAGTAGAACAACTGAGTTATCACATCACTATATGGTTTTATAGAGATGTGATAAAAGTTTCCTAAACAGAAACTGCCAATGAGAAACTCTCATGCAAGAGGGTGCAATTGGATTGTTAAGAATTCAAGTCTCAAGGCACTGGGTGTTTAAGACCTAATGTGGTTCTGTGTTTTTGTAGCAAGTCTCTTAGAAAATAATGAACAGGTGCATTTCTGTTACTCTGAAACAACATTTTTGAAATGTGTTAAGAGGGGCTGAATAGGACACTGAAGCATTTACATTAACTTAAAAGAGTTTTTTAAAAAACATAAATAACTCTGGAAGTGTGCAGGAAACATAAGTATAACGAATTAGTGAGACCAAAGTGGCGAAAAAAGCACGACATGCAGCAATATATTTCGAAACCTAAAAACACAGTCAACTCAACACAACCTAAAAAGCCTTCCGCCACGAACCTTCCACTGACTACCAATGATCTCTTTCCAGCCAATGTTTTCTCCTCCACCGCCTCAAATTTTACTGAAACAAATTGAATTCCGGCTTCGCTACTAGAATCCTCTAGTCTCAGTGATCTCTCATTTAGGTGATTAAATTTAATCTGCCATCATATTCTGGCATGCTTGGGTTCTCTAGTACTAGGGACAAACTTGAAGGCGATATATTCTACAAAGTCAATGTGGTGCTCTTTTTTGGGTTTTTTTTTTGGAGAAGAATTGGATAAGGGTTTTGGTTTGGAGATATAAGAATAAGAGGAGCAAATAAATGATGGTGATGGTAAGAAAGATTCTCTTGTGATACAGTGACCAAGAAAATATATGATAAAAAAATGGTGTTACATTCGTTAAGGAATAAATAAATTATGGGAAGGGAGTAGGGAAGGAAAGAAAGATCATTTGGTGTCTTGGAATGTGGGCACTAGGCCAAAAGCTAAAGGTGGATTTGTCTTGATGAAAATAAATGAGGCCTTGACTAGAAAATAGCTTTGAAAATTTCCAATGGAGCAAGGTACATTGTGGCATACGATTATTAGGAGCCAATATGAGTTACTGGCTAATGGGTGAGATGCTAAAAGGATTGAGAGGGACCTTTCGGAGTCCATTGAAGTTCATTTCTAAGTGGTCCTATCTCTTGTTATCATGGGAAATGCATTGTATCTTTTGTCATATCTTACTCTTTTCCAGTATCTTGAGATTTTGGTATTCGTAGAAACCTCAATGATAGGGAACATAAGGAGTTGTTGTTACTTCTTACTATACTCGATAATGTTTTTTTCTCTCAAAATTCTTTGGATAAAATAGTTTAAATTAGTGATCCTTCCGGTGTTTTCTCTTGTAAATCTTATTTCAAATCATTAATTGATGATCTTTCTCTATCATTATTTCTATCTTTCAAAATTTGGAATTCCAATGTTCCTCTAAAGGTGCAAGTTCGTGTCACTCATGGCAAGATTAATGCTAATGATGTACTTCAAAAAAGGTAACCTAAGACAAGTCTTTTACCTCAATGGTGTGTTATTTGTATAGAGGATAGTGAGAGTGTAGATCATCTATTCTTGCATTGTCTAATGGTTTTATCATTACGGAATAAATTGTTTTAGTTAGTTGGTCTTTGTTGGGTGGCTCGTAGATCTATACTAACTATGATTTGTTTGGACTTTATAGGTTTGGGAGGAAATGGAAGAGGGTAGACTCTTTGGCATTGTGCTCTTTTTTGCAACAATTTGGATCCTATACATGGAGAGAAACGCAAGAATTTTTGAAGACAAATGGGAGGATGTTGAGTGCTTATGAGACCGACTTTATTTCTTAGCTTTTTTTTGGGCATCAGTGAAAAAGGACTTTGATAATATAATATTCTTTTATTTAGTATCACACCTAGTTGGATGACATCCTGCTGTAGACTACAACATGAACTCAATTGTCAAGCCTTTTATTTTTTTTCTTTATATTGTACTAATCATTAGGTTGGACGACTTGTCCAGTTTTGATTAATTCTTGTACTACTGTTTTTTTGATTTATTAATAAAATTGTTATTTCTTATTGAAAAAAAAAATGTCAAGATGTGAACATTGCAAATCTTGAAAGTCAATCTATAAATTACAAAATTTTTACAATTATATTTAGTGTCATAGCATGAATGTAACCATAGTTGTCAAATCGTGTATCGGAAGGCATATTGTTATTTAAAAATAGTGTATTGTATCGTATCGTGTATCGTAAGATACGCGCAATTTTAATTTTTAAATAATTATTAATAAAATATATGTATATACCTTTATAAAAAAGTCATAGACTCATAATAACATAATATTTCATTAATATTCCACCAATTATTCAAGTTTTTAACATAGTTCAGTAATATAAAAATGCAAAAACCTCTAATTCAAACTACTAACATCAACTGTTTGAACAACTTTAATATTAATCAGGAATTTTGAATTCAATTGAACAACATTAACATTGGACTTTATTTATTTTTTTTAAACTATAACTACTGAAACGACGTTGTTTCCCTAGCTAATGATTTAAAAATAAGTTTTAGGATAAAACGATGTCATTTCAACCTCAAAAAACAAAAAATAAAAATAAAAAAATAAAATCGTTATGCATCGTACGTATCGGGTGTATCGTATCGTGTATCGTACGATACGATGTAAAAACGATACAGAGACACAATACGTATTGTTTTTAAGGTGTATCGTACGATACCTATTGCGTATCGTACGATACTAATAATTTGAACAATCAGAACGGAAAAAAAAACATAATTATAGCAAACTTTTGCAAGAAATGAGGTGTGTCAACATACATGTGCGCGTAGTAGTGTAAATAGAGGACAAATATCCCATTTTGAACATTTGAAATAAACATGTGGTAGAAATTTGTGGGCATTGTGTAGGTGGATGGGAAAAAAAGAAAGATAACTAGCAACAAAATCGTGTAATTAATAGGATTTACATCCCACCACATCTCAACATCTTTCCCGACCTGTTCAATATTTGTAGTACTTTAAAAAGAAGAGAAATTTATGATAATAAGTATTAGAAAAAAAAAAGAGTGAGTGAGTGAAAAGTTGAATAACAAATGGGAAGTTGAGTAAGTAGCAATATCGAAAAGTGGAACAATTTTACTAGAGGAAAGTATGATAAAAAAGATAAAAATAAGATAATTATGTAGTTGTGGAGGGAAGGCTACTCAACCCCTCCCCCAGACAAATTGATTCTTTTATATAATAGATGTCAATGGTGTGTTTTGTGTTGTGTTGTAAGAATATCAGATTTTTTAATCAATAGATGCTGCAAAATTGAGAAATTAAGTTTGGACCATAAGTTTAAATTATAAAACATACGGGTTGCCACAGAGGAGAGCGAATGACAACTCTTGCCTAGACATTATGATTGGGAGTTTGGGAAATATGAGGGCATTATCCATTGACATTGAACATAGTCTGATTGATAAAAACTACTCCTGGGGCAGGTCCTTTGAACAGTTCATTCTACCCACACATGCTTCAAAGGACAAGCAACCACGATGCACAATTGGTTGTTGCCACATGATGTAAAATTCTGGTAAAGATGCATCCTATTTCTTGTCCCCCCCCAGACTCCTACAGGCTACAGATCCAATACTACCCAATAAGTGTCCAAACTAACAACTTACTACAATTGCCTGATATTTTTTTAGCTACTTGGATGACATTAGAAAGTAAGAAGATAGTTCTAAAATATTGTTTCTACATGTCAGCTGGGCATTGGGCAGCAATCTAGCACATAGTACTGTTGATGGTACAAATCAAAATCTCATCTGTAACCGATAAAAACTTCGGGTTATGACTTGTCTACTACTAGATTCTTCAATTCTGGTCTCGTCAGATTCTGAATTACCCAATATAACCACCTAGGGGGAACCACCAATGAATGTAAGTCCCCCCTAAAAGTGAGGGAAACGAAAGAATTCAGTGGCCCGGTCGGAAGTCTTCTAAAAAAGTTGTGCAGTACTTTCAGTATGGCTTCAAATATGGGTAGTTATTCAGTTAATACCCCCCCCCCAAAAAAAAAAAAAACAACAAATCTCTACTCAAAACCCAGAAAAATAATAATTAATCTAAAAAATCTAAATAAACCCTAATTTCAAAAAAACAAAAACAACGTTAAAGCCAATCATCAAAAAATGATAATAGTACCTTAAGTTTATTTACAGTAACGATCAGCCTTTTTCTTGACACGGTCATCGAGAGCCTCCTCCACGGACTTAAAATTGGTCTTCTGTGGGTCTTTGTAACCGAATTTCTTGGCCTCAACGGGGAACAAATCTTCATATTTCCTTCGCTTTGCGGCGTCGATTGTATATATCTCTCCTCCCTCCGCCGCCGTAGTTGGGACCTCAATAGTATCACCAATGGCCTCCAGCTCCTCCTCCCCTAGAATCTGTTCTTCTGATGCGACGTCGTCTGAGGCTTTGTGTTTGTTCTTTTTCTTCTTCTTCTTGTCGATTGGTTTGCTGCGAGTGGCGAGACTGCCTCCTTTGAAGGTCAGCCTCCCTCCTTTCGCTCTCTCGTACGGGTCCGACATCCCCCTTTCAATCTCTCGCCTTCTTAATCCTCCGTTCCTGTCGCACTTTCTCTGTCTCACTCTGTTTTCTCGCGTTGTCGGGTTACATAAGTGGATCTTCCTATTTAGGAAAAACTACACCATCCCTTGATTACTTAGTACCCCAATATTTAAAATATTATATATAAATTCATAATAACAATTTTAAATAAATATATTAATAAATTAGACTCAAATCTCCTAGAATTTATAAATATATACACTTAGACTTTTGAAATTTAAAATATTATATTTAGACTATTTATTAGTACAAAACTAATGAAATCTATTAAATGTAAATATATAAGATATTATGTATAATTGTACACAAATAAATATTGAATTGAGTGTTATGATTTATTTATAATTGATGAACCCAAATATAATCAGATTAGGCCTAATAAATCAAGTAGGCCCAAATCAGTTAAAGGATAGGTCAAGTCCAATTCGAAAATTTGACGCAGCTCAAGTTCAAATGAGTCCAAAAAGAATTAGAACACACGTGAAGAGTAATTATCGAAATATTCACTCTCGAATATTAAGACAATCTTTTATGACACTTACATTTTGTAGCGACTCGGAGAATTAGTATCTTTGTCCTCACGTCATCGCCTTAACTAAGGCTCCGTGTTTACAAATTGTAAACTCTCTCTATATGAGATGACACCACTTTACACCTATGGAGACATCTTTGAATACCTCTTGAGATCTCTCTACACCTCTTTATATACGTACAATTTTTTCTCTCTCTCTCAGTTATTGTACCCCTTTCGGAGCTAACAATTATTCTCTCTCTTGTTTACCTTATTACTTCATCAATAAAGACCTTCGATCACCGTTGTCGTTTCTCGGAGTAGAGTAGGTCACTCGAATCGAACCACTATATATCTATGTGTTGACCTGATATTTACATTATTGTATTGATTCCTCTATTAATTATTCATTAATTACACTTTATCACACACTCGACTGTTGATCTTGTACAAGATTATTTTGTGTATCATCAGTAATTATTACTATTTTTTCTCAAGAAATTAGGTTTTTGTTTGATTTTTATGCCAATGGATGACATAATGGAATATGCAAATAAGTTGATTAGGTTTATATCATATATCTGATGATGAAAAAATTGATCAAAGGTGAAAAGTTCATTTAGTCTAAATTCAACCCATTCTATCAAGAGTTCTAATGTTAATAGGATTCTGCATATCATAAATAAGATAAATTTAATCATACGAATAATATCAAATTGGTGTACAAAAATAAGGACATAATTTGTATCTTTCTATTTGGAATACCAATCCTTCTTTATTGTTGTATCAACACCCTCCACCGCCCCATATGCAACCAACACCATGTCCAATACCCTTCACAAAAGCATTTTGACACTTCAAAGTATCACTCATGACCTATCTCAATCTTCAAGCCAATACATTAGCCAAGATTTTATAAGGTGAAGTAGTCAAACAGATTGGCTTGAAATCTCTTCTTAAGGGATTCTCTCTCTAAGAAATAAATAAAAATGAATGGAGCATTATACATGTCATTCATATAACACTGTATTGAGGGAAATTGAAGAGAATAAATAATGGAGGGAATCTAAATCTTTGATTTCCCTAGTGTCTCCAAACACCTCCTCATTCCAAATCTTTATTTTTACTTTCATGGCCTTTGACTTTTTCATGAATTTAAAACCCTCCTAACCTTGTGCCCCACTCTCACCCCCACCACTTTAAAAAATACTTCTCAAAGAATGGTGTTCTATCCATATTATTTTCAAACCTAACTAGATAACTCTCTAAAACAATGAGACGATATTCAAAACATATTAGGCTCATTTTGTAGACGTATTATAAAGGGATTAAATATTGGATTGTACTATTTTTTATTTAATTGAGCCTAATATTTTATTTGGTAAGTAATTTTGATACCGTATTAAATTCAAAAATATAAACTAATCGTATATTTTTGATACAATAAACATAAATTATAGAGGTATTTTAATACCACTAAGAGAGGTGGTATTATAATCCAACTCAAACGTATTATTCTACACATTTACTATTATAACCCTCAACTGATAAAATTAAGTTGTCATCAATAGAACAAACACTGATATAAGATATTTTTGTTAATTCAATATTAATACGATAAAATAATTCTCTAATCAAACGACCAATTGGATTAAATAACTACTATCAAACATTTATGTATGTATTGTTAAACACTAGATAAAATTACTTATTATTCTAATACCCTATTTAATATTGTCTTTTGTCAATCTGTATTGTATTACAATGAATTACTTTATCTAATCCATCAATTTCTAATTTGGCAACCAAATAAGCCCATTATTCTACATTCATCAAGATAGCCTAAGAAAGACTCTGACTATTGAAAATGAGTACATTGTAAGCGACAGGGAAGCCACAAGCGTAAAAACTCCCTTCTAAGATCCCAAATAAAAATTCAACGACATAAACTAATCGTATATATAGATTCAAATAAAAATTACCATGAAATATTTTTCTTTGGACCACCAATAACTTTCAAAAGTTTTATAACTGGAATTAATACAAGGAAGTTTGAGCTTGAGAAACTTGAAGTTTGGTCATAACCATTTAGAATCATCAAGCTAGGCATTGTATCTATTATGTTTCAGTAAACTTAAAACGATAAAAGAAAGCATCTCCACCAAACCAATGCAAAGAAAACATCAAAGAATTAATAGATAAAGAGCCCCATGACACTAATTAACCGCATGCACAACAAAAGAGAAGTAGAGCACATGGAATTAATATCAAAAAATGGCAAAAAAAATAAGTAAAGAACGACAAATGAAACTGAGATAACATATTCTTATAAGACAAAAATAGATCCATTCTCCAGCAAGATTTCACCCAAGCGCACTTTGAGGTTGAAAACACGTATTTCATGGAGCATTATAGAGAGAACCCCATTTTCATCATCAGGGTGGGAAATCCGAACGTGAAAGATTGATATGCGGACTTGCCATTCATGGTCCTCAGTGAATCCAACAATAAGTAGAGACATATGGCCATCAACCCGCAAGTGGTTGATGAAACTGGAACAATAAGATAGCTCAGGTTCAATCAACCCATAGAGCTTAGTTAATGGTCTGTGAGACTTGAAGACCATGGGGTTGTTCCGATCAAAGCAGTAAGCAATGATTGGGAATGGGTAGAAATCAACACAAATTAAAAAACTATTGAATGCAACAGCATCACCAAAAGCAAATACCTCGATAAGGAACTATGCTACCCAATCCTTGGCAGAATACCAAATCTTGTCTTTAAGATTAAAATAGAAGTAACACGCATGAGTATATATGAAGAGTTTGTCATTCCAAACAAAGTGGGATAAAATTATATCATCATGGTCTTCAGAATAGAAGAAGGGCGTAGGGAGAGACAGGCACGACTTTGTGGAGGAATTGTAGGCCTAAAAAAATGGCTTTTCAAACTTTACCTGCCTCCTTCGAATGGGGTGAAGGATTTAGCTGACAATACATAAACTATATCACCGATGGTAGCCACGATAGGGAAAGCCTTGGGCGATTTCAACTTAGGAATTGATGGAATCAAGGACTAGGAGCGGTGGTTGTTTTAGATTAGAAGGATCAATCTCATAGATATCGTTGGTATTGAGCCCTACGTAGGCTTCACATGGATCCAAGAAAACGGCGTCCCTTCAACTACTAGCTGCCAAACATATATAATTTTGAATTCAGCATCATAGTTCCCATTCCAATCGAGGAAAAACAATCAAAGAAACCTTTTATGAACTAAGGTGAACCAACATAGCGTAAGTTTGCAACCTAAAACTGCCATATCTACCCCACATTCACCACGTATAAGAACTGATGCTGATCCATCTTCTCTCTTCGTTTTGTAGAGGTTGAAATTGGAGAAGAAACTCGTCTTGTCCATCTTCTCTCTCTCACACACACGGAAACCTTCTGGGATCGCCTTAACGTGCAAAATGGACAACCCTAACTCCCTTTGTTTTCCCTTCAAAAAAGTTCGTGGAGTTTATGGATAACATCACATAGGTAGTAGTAAATATTATGTGTAACGATTACACAGTTGGTTAGTAAAAATATATGTAATTTTATTCTACAAACGAGAATACAAAATCTCAATCTCGCTATCAATAATCAAGTCACAAATATAATGATACTTCACATAAGTATGTTTGATCTTCCAATGAAAAACTAAATTATTTGACAATGCAATAACTGATTTATTATCACAGAAAATCTTTGAAGGAATTTTCTTTGCATGCAGCAAAAATCCAAGTATACGACGTAACCACACTACCAGAGTAACACAACTTGTGGTTGTATTATACTTTGCTTTAGTGGTAGAAAGAGCAACAACTTGTTTCTTTGAATGTCATGAAAAAATTCCTTAACCGATTTGAAAACAATATTGTCTGTATACATTATCATGTACGTGGACAAATAGATCCCACACAAATGGATCCCACATGATTAATTACTGTAACTGGTACACCCAATATTTTCTTCAAAACCTACTAGCTACTACCCTCTCTTTAAAAGAACAATATTTATTTGATTATGTGCACTGGCTAAAGGCATTACATTCCCCCATTTATAAAAGACTAGTTGTTGTACATGTACGTTGTACGTGAACAATTGTGAATTATAATTTTTGTTTATATTGTACTTGTCCGACAAAGTATTGCTTGACCCTTGATTATACACTTCATTATGGTCTTAGAAAGCTATGTCCATAACACATGTTTTTAAGAAGGGTTTAAAAAAATGTTGTTTAGTGTTTTTTACATTCCAAAACATGACCCAAAAATAATAAATTACTAAATGTAATTTGTCTGCATTTTTTTTTTCAAAAAAGAAAAAAAGGAATTATAAGTCAACTATGCATGTTGTTGATGACAAGGGCCAATTTAATTTTGAATTACTTGATTTATAAAGAATTTTTTTACCGTATTTGAACCATAATTTTCATGTCATCAAGTACTGTTTATAATCATTATTCAACAAAAATCATCAACTATACAAACTAACACAATCCATTCACATCATCTACATGTAAAAGAGA